TGAGGCAAGCTCGTCTCTAAGTACTGTTTTTGTAACTTTGGTGCTATCGCTAGCTTAAGAAACTGGTAATTGTGTATTTCTCATGATTTTAATCCAAGCGAAAGAAAACCCGTTGTGGCAGACCGAGAACAAATTCATTCGGATGGCCGAGAAATGTATCAAAATTAGAAGTCAATATGTATGTAGTGCTATTTACAATACACAGTCTAGAAAGGACAGCAACACAGAAGAGTACGGACAAGAAATTAGCGGATGTAAATTCAAGAAACACTGCCGAGTTGCACTTAACCGACTCGGTCTCCTGCTTGCTAATACAAGTCAGTTAACCCGAAATCCACTTTTTGATGTAAGGGACGCACCCTAGAAATTGTTCGCGGATTTAAACTTCTGAGACGTCGTCAAGACAGGAGCTCGTCACGCACCCTATCTATCACGCCATCCTTTGACCGTTCATCACGCTAGTTTGAATTACTGAATGATAGGAAAAGAACAATACAGTGTGAGTTCTACGAAGCAGTCTTCTGTTCACTTTCTTTGTTGTCGTTTTGTGCAACCTCTTGCTTGTCCTTTTTATCCTTATCCCACTTGACAGAGTATTTGTTATGCTCAATGGCCGCGCTGGTGACAACTTCGCAGGTGGTGGTACAGGGATGGAGCCCGTCTACTTTACCCAGAAGCCAGTCACGACATCGACCCTCCTGGTCTCCTGTCACGTTACTTTTCACCCAGTCACTTAGCCATGATTGGAATCTGGAGTGAAGACGATTGGCCACTACCGGGTGACACTGTCAAACAAACAAACAAAAAATAAATATACAAATGACAAGCCCAAGACAAAGAAAACAATAACAGTCCCTGCCCAGGGGGTGGTGGGGGTACGGATTTCAAGTGACGAGGAAGATCGAGTATGGACCAAAGTCAAAACCCCCCAAAAAGTCCCTGGGCCAAAAATTTACCTCCAAAAAATCCCATGATGGATTTCCAAGCCTTGAAAATTTCCAGGAAGCATTAAATGATATAGCACGAAAAAAAGAAAAACATTAGAAATCGAATATTCGTGTTTCTTTAATCATCATGCCATCTGAAGTTATCTTTTCCGCATCTAGTAGCCATTTTAACAACTTTCGAGACACCCAAGAGCATCTGCTGTTTCAACAATAACACTATGCAGAATGACAACTCTAAGCAAGACCACCCCGGTTTTACGAAACAAATGCAATGTAATACGTTAAATATTAAAACAGCTGCAAAACAAGTTTGGTTGTACTTTATTCGCAGAACTACGCAGCCGGGATACGCGGGCACTATCACGAATGTTCAGATTGTTCTGAATACTCAAAAATTCCTACTTCAAGCCACTCCAAAAACATTTTCCTTCCCAGAAAAATCCCGGAATCGAATATTTCAAACCCAGAAATACTTGGATCGTCCCCCCTCACTTGAAATCCAGGTGTACCCCATGGGAGTCCAAGTAATGCAATAGTCTATTATTATTATTAACTGGGTTAATAACGTCAATTGGCTACCCAAAGGCGATTCAAAAGTGGACGTTTCGGGCCCCGGTCTTTTTTTAAAGCTTAGCGACTCCCCGCTCGTGGGCGGGTGCAACCTCCTCCCCTCGAATGCTCGGTCACAGAATAGAGTTCCCCACGGCAACGGTAACAACTCGTACTTTTCGGTGGTAAATGGAGATTTGTCTCATCGCGTCTTTAAAATAATCGTTTACAGTGTTCGTTCGTTTCTTCCTTTTTTAGCGAAAAGGAAAGAGGCTCATTTTCTTTTCCGCACCATCTCCCATTCTAGAATTAAAACGCAGCTGTTTGAAACAAGACTTCTGGACTAACAGCTATAAACATATTTTTACACACTTATTTTCAAAAAATGAAGAACTAACCTCCTTAGCTCTTTTCAAAGCTTGCCGTCTGTACAAGTAATCCTCGCTGCCTTTTACAAAGCGAATTTTGTACGAATTCAAGCTCAGCTTGCACTCCATTGAGTTTTCCACTTCCATGTCCTCGACATCCTCATTTTCTTCCTCTTTTTCACTGGAAACGAAACAAACAACGTTCGGACCCTTTAGACAGACAAGCGGTGGCAAAAAGAGCTTTTAACTGTTGGTGAGTTTATATCTCTAAGAACATACAACGCGTAGAGGTAAACTATGAGTTTATAGAACAGAGACAAGGGTTCCTTACTATTAAAACAAACTATCCGATTCAAAAACTAGCAACTGAATTGGACCATGTGGAAAAAGGACCCACTAGAAAGTGTATCCAAATCGGCTGGACAGACTAAAGGTGTAGAAACTGCATCGCCTCCAACGACAGCCTTATTTCCTTAAGCTTCCCAAAAGGAATGGGGCGAACGATTTGAATTTCCCACCAGGATTTACAGCCATGAGCTCCCACGCCAAAGGAACAAGGCACAAGTCACACTGATTTAACAGTGGAAGAATTCGGGAGGGGGGTAAAATAATGATCCAAAGGCTAAACGAAGAAACTGGCCGCCACGAAAACACTGTACTGAGCACATGGAGGTGACGCAAGCAAGGCTGACCGCGCTTGAGCCAAACGACTGACCGCTGACCACGCTCATGTTCCTTGTGGTTAACTGTGTGAAATAAATATTTATTTAACCTCATTTAAATTTCCTTCAAGTTTGTCCATCCGTGCCTTTTTTTGTTTTTGCTCTGTTATCTTAACCTTCACTCAGTTTTCTGGCGGTTTCCACTGTTTGAATTTCGATAAATTTCGCGACACTGTTCATTTACGTTACAATGGCAACGCCATTGTAAACCAGAGTCCGCAAAGAGATTCACTTTGGAACAAGGACGATACTTGTAACCAGCTTCTTTCTGAAATGATGAACTCTTTAATACCTGTTATTTCCTTCACTCTCGGCCTCATCAGTTGAGGAGCCGTTATCATTCGTAGTGGACTCCTTTTCATTGTTTTGGGTGGCGGATTTCATTCGCGAGTTGGAGCGCACCGTTCTGAAACGAAACACACCAACACGAGTCGTTTAGCGCAGTGGAGAGGCCTAATAACTAACTTGATGCATCGGCACCTGCGTCATGGCACTTAGTTTCTGCGGACACAATTTTGGCAATTAGTCCAGTATACTTTTCTCAAAGAGAACAAACATGTTCTATTCTATGCAATTGCATTCAAAATTCTTGCGTTTATCTTAGTCAAAATACAGGCGCACTAAAATTCAAATTTTTTTTATTGCCTTTCTTAGTTATCGGAATAATAGAAATAGCAAAAATAAAGTGCCGCAAGGTTGCCCCTGTTAAATGAGAAAGCCTTTACAAAACTTTCAGACTTAATTGTGTCAGGGCGTGAAGTGTCAATTTCAGCGCACAGCTGTGATGTTGTTGTGTTAAACTTCCTTGTATTAAAATAAGTCATCGAAAATAAGTGTCTTGTAGCAACATCATACATTCAGTTCTACCTAGGTAAAAAGATAGGTTTGCTCTGTAAATGATCCTTAACTTCTGTAGACACCTCTTCGCTCCCGACAAATTTTTCCACGTATTCATTCCATTTCTGAAAAAGAGGACAGAACATTCATTCTTCGAGCCAGGTAAAAATATAAAGGGCACGTTCAGGTTTGTTCAGGACTGTAACCCCCATTCCATAGTTCCTTTTCTTTATGAGGCACGACGCACCGTCCTCACGTATCCGTTTTTGTTTGAGAACGAAGATTTTTTCTCCGGTTCAGCCTACCGTTCACACGCATCCGGTGAAAACGGTCATCGAAAACGAATCTTTTCGAAAACGCTCGCCGGAGTGGGGATTTTTTAAAACGCAATTTTGGGTACCAGGGAATGCGCACGCTCCCATCAAAGATGGTACCGTTTTCAGTCACTATTGCGTTTTCGAGTGGACGGACAAAAACGATTCAAAAACGCACCGGGTGGACGCGGATTTTGTTAAAACGGAGAAAAAAAATCCCCGTTTTCAAACAAAAACGGACACGTGTGGACTGCGCATGAGAAGCTGGTGAGGGCAATTATGTGAGAAACCAAAACAAGACGATTGAGCGATAAAAAAACACCGCGGGTTTACTTTACCTCAACTTCCGCTGGATCCTCCGAGTGATTGTCCTCTGAATCAAGTAGCTCCAAACTCAAACGGCAGATATTCTTATCTTTGTGCTGTTGAAAAGGTTTAGAACTGTGTTAGTCTCTTACCGTAAGAAACGTGTACGGTGTGATTCAATTGTCGGCAGCAACGGAAATTGCACTGTTCTCTTGTTGTAAGAAGAGACCAGAGCTTCATAAAAATTTTACAGCGATAAAAACGTTTTCGCTCAGTCTGCAATGCAACGCTGCAAAAGTATTATTTGTGTTCAATGCGGATTTGAAGGAGCACCTTAGAAGATGGGAAGTAGGGCACAAAGAGTAGCAAAGGTGACAGGCTTCCATCTATTACAGCTTTGGAGTCTAAGCCCGCAAGAGAGAACGCACATGCACCTTTTGCAATAAATTACAGTATTTGAAAGAAATCCCAAAAGCTCGTCAGGTTTATCACCAGTTGGTGAAGTCTGTGAAGCAATGCCGATATCTTTGTTCTGAGCCCCCAACGGACTCAAAGAATTACCGGACGTGCGTTTCGAACTTCCTTACATCCTGACTGGCAAATTGACAATGGCATTGTTAACAAGGCAATCATGGGTCGTACTCAAACCCTGGTACCCAGGTGGGGGCCCAGAACAACGATTTCGTCGCTGTTTTGCAGACGGACTTAACCACAGTTAAGTTTTGTCGGTGACGCAGACTAGGAGTCAACTGTGCATTAATCACAGCACAACAATAATTATGAGGCTATGTTACTTACAATGACAACTTTGTAACAGTTCTCGTCTGACAAAAGGGACTCTGCTCTTTTTTGATACGCTGATTCAGATGCAGCACGGGTATGCTGTGTAGCCGAGCTTCCTCCAGTGGCCAGGTTACCTTGCTCCTGTTGGTAGAGTTCAGTCACCTGTCCACATGTCTCGTCTGTTACAATCGTGTGAAGCTAAGTGATGAAACACATTATAAGTTGACGACACGTCATATGCTCAGCAGATTTGACCCTTCGAAACAGGTAACTAAAAGAACTACAATAAAATCTCATTAGCAATGTTAAAATTGAGGTATCCACTTCGGCTGAACATCATAAAAAAAGCTAAAATTTTTACTCCACGATTATCCTGAGCATATTTTTCTTGACTTCATGATGGCAAATTCTTACAGCAATGTGAAACGTATTCGATCTTTGTCTTACTGAAATTAAAAGTCCATGCAAGAATGATTTTTTGAGCATACGCCCTTGAGTATTGCCATAAGAAAATGAGGTCCACTGAAGCTAAAAATTACCAAAAGATGAAATGCTTAATTAAAGCTCTGGTTACAGTCACAAACTACCAATTTTGCCCTTTGGGACTGGCTGCTAAGTAAAGGGTAGCCGCATAACCAAGGTTCAAGTGTCTACCTGTCTAACAATATTCTGAACCAACTTGTCCATGGTAAATGCGATGTATGCATGTACACCAAACATCTCACGACATGTATCCTCGAAGTTGGTGGAGTCCATATTACCTGAAATCAGTTACAACAGAAAGAACACATGCATTGTATCCAAGGACTAATTCTCCAGACTGACTTCCATACATTTTCCCGGGGAAATAGTTAGTGTTAAACTCAGAAAACCGTGAACACCTGAAAATTTTCAGGAATGTCGATTGTGTACTGGCCAATTTCAGGATACGGAAGCAAACCCCACAACCACAAACTAATTACCGTTGCTGTTTGCGGTTCACTTATCTCGCGCCTTATTGGCTAATTTCTCGCAACACAATAGAATTCCATAAATATTTTTGGTGTTCACGGTTTTGTGACTTTCAAAGTGAGGGAATTTGATAAAAGATCAAAGAATTTTTCCTTAGGTGATCATTTTACTCGTAATTTGCGAAATTTTCAAAATAACCAAAAGTCAGTAAGCAGCAACTATGAACCACACAATTTTAAACCATGTTTAGCTGTGAATGGGGCGTTGGTTTGACCACCTAAACTGGAGCCATGAAACTTTCAGAAACTTCCACCATCTTCTTTCTCTTTGAAATCGCACCTATTGTGTTTACGTCCGGGGATATTGTTTGGGGATAATTTTTGGGGATATTGTTTGAGGATATTGTTTGGGGCAATAAAAAAATGATGAGTGCTTCATGGAGCCCCATTAAGGTCTCATTTACTGCCGGGTCAAGCTTTCTAGTCATCAGACGAATCTTACTCTCTTCCTGCAATTCTTGCAGCCCCCTTTTCGTGCCATTTGGACTAAAGTAAATAAAGAAATAGTAAAAAGCAAGCTAATAAACAAACAAACAACAACAAATTTTGAAGCAAGCAACTTACCATCAAGTAAGTTTCTAATCATGTCCAAAAATGCAGGATAGTATTCTTCCAGGTCTATCTCACTGGGTGCTTTCAGTCGTAATGCAATCGCTGTGGCCTGTTTTCTCTGCTGCTTATCTGATGCTTCACCTTCTGCTATCATAACGGACTGCTGATACATCTTCAGCAACCGCTCACACAGCATCTAAAATGACACACACAAGACACTGTTACAGAAGTTGGCAGGATTGTTTTATCAAGTTAAAAAACGGGGAACGGCTATGTACTGTTCTTTGGCAAGAGAGCATGTTCTCTCGCCTTTGGTACAGATCTCTTTTTATGCATCACAGATAACACCTTTTGTAGTTTATTAGCTGATAAAAGGGGGTTTCCTGCCTCCCTGATCTACTAGTCTTGTATTAAGTCGACAAGAGAAACAAATATACAAAATGAGGAAAGAAATGAAAATCTTAAATGAATACAACCTGTGAGATTACGGACAGCTGAAAAATCCAGATCTGTTCATTCTTCAAGTGACACCCAAGTTTTGTATTACTTTGACCAAGAACATTGAACACAGAAACTTGTCTTATCAGATTTTAAGACACATTGAACTTTCTTATTCTCAAATGATACTTCTTGCACGTTTTTGTAATGTTATGAAGGTTTTTTTCTGTGCACTTTTTGACTGGTTAGATTTCCAAGTCTTCCTGTCAGTGAAGATTTTAAGAATGTTGCTGACATCTTGGCCTACCTGATGAAGTCTGAAGAGTAAATACCAGTTGTTATTTACAAATATTAAGTTATAGGCATCATCCTGCAAAATAAGAAAAGAAAAGGAAAATTACATCGTAGCAAAATTATTCATGCTGAAGAGGACATCATCATAAAAAACTCATGATAATGGATAAAGTATTATCTGTTTGGGAGGCTTTAGCAGAGCTGCAAATAATTTTTCTTTCTTGAAAGGACATATCTCCAAAACAGCAATGATGTATACCAAATGTTTTAAAGACAGGTTTTGCACAGATGTTTGGATCTAAAATTCAAGACTTTTACACACTTTTTTTCCAAAACAATATTGGTAATTTATTAAGGTTACAAAATAGTTGATCAGTGGAGATCTTAAAAAACACACGACCAAGCTTTTTTCATAATACACTGCAAACGTACAGTAAACATGGTGCAACGTGGACATAAGAGAGTTCTGAAATTTCTCATGTTGTGATTGAATGTCTTGGCTACTGGCAAGATTGACTGAGAATTGTACCTTTGCAAAAAAATCCAGACGTTTTATCATTTTTCTAGACTTTTTCCAGGTCTACAAAATTGCTTTGCAAATTTCAAGACTTTTTCAAGAATTCAGGACACTGTACAAACCCTTTAAAGATGTACAGCTAGTAAAATTTAGCCTTATGAAAGTGTTCATATTGGAGTGTCCCAAAGGACAGAAAGTCACTAAAATGATGTCTTACCGCTTCTGCTTCTGGTAAACCATTAGTCAGTTCAGGTTTTCCTGAAACAAAAAGAAAAATGAAAGTTTGAACCTTTCACTCTTACATCACTTTCTGGTGACATTGCCTTGTCACTCCAACTTTCAAATGTATGGGCAAATCTTCTGATGTACCCATTCAAATGAAGCCTCTTTAGCAGATTTTTTTTTGAGCAAGGGTGGGAGGGAGGGAGGGAGGGGGATTTCTTACTCTGGCTACTACTGACAAGTAAAAGGGTATAAAAACTAGAACTAAACTAAATTAAACTAAACCAATGTGTATTACCATGAGTGAATTTTCTCAGTTTTGTAAAGGATCAAAAACCTCACTGCTCTTTAACTAACCATCTGAAAAAAACTAATAAAGATTATAACGAAACATGGCCTTTTAATCACAAACCGACGATTAACAGATGCTGCATAAAAATGCAAGTTGACTTTGGGTTACTGACATCGGTTCAAACGCCCTAGCACTGTTATGACTCAAGGGTCTCCACTCACCTAGACCATTGAGTTCCTTGACAGAGTCTTCATCGTCACTTAGTTCGCCTCTGGGAGCAAAGAACAAGTCTGGCAAAAAGCAATGCAGCAGCACTTTAATCTTGGCTTTGTCTTCCTTGTGGATACTGGTCTGTCTCTTCATGTGATGAACAATCAGTCCAGCAGCATCATCTAGAATAGATTTATCCTGATAGCTGTAGCCCAAGTGAGGACCAGTGGCATCCCCATTACCTTCTGCAGCTTGTTCTGTTCTCTGTAAAGGAAAACAAACCAGGAAATGAGCAAGCACTTGAAGAGGGAACATAAAGAGATTTACTGCGACTTGAAAAACTGAGGAACTATTTCTATGAATCGGAAGGTAAAAGTGGCTTAGCACTGCCAAATGTTACTAAGCTACCACAAGGAAACAGTCAAACAGTAAGGAGTAGCGGGGAAAATTAGACTAAAACTTGTCTCTTTGAAAGTGCTATCTAGAAAATGGCTTTAAAACTATACTGTTTTGTTCACAGAGGGGGATAAACAGAAGACTTCCCCTTGTTGCTGAATAAACATTTTCCACAAGTGTATTGTTTACATGAAAAATAGCGAACATTGATGTCATAATGCCTCTTAAACTTCTTTTAAGTTTCACTAATAAGGAAATTTGCATTCTTCAAGCTGGATTTGACACAGTATAATGAACATTTTTTTACAATTCTACCATGGCTGAAAGAAGCCTTCAAGCTTGGTCTTTCTGTATACAAGTACAGGAACAGATTATATAAAACAAGAATCACACAACAAGGTCTTGCTTGGAGTTGTATTGCTTGATCCTTTTGTTTAACACAATCTGTGGTAGTTAAATTTACCAGCTGTGAAGACTGGCATTATCACAATAACAAGTAAAGTTGTCATACATGTATATCGTGACATCTACTCACCTCATCATAAATAGTCTCAATCTCATTAATCAGACTTTTTGATCGCATGGACTTTAAGTCATTCTGTTTGAAGGTGATCCCTTGATGATCCAAGGACTGCAATAGAAAAGAAAAATACAACAGGCTAAAAAATTAATTGCATATACTTGGGAAGTTAAAATTTTAATGACAGCCCTGGCCTTCTACTCGAAGGAGATCATACAAAAGGAAAAAAACACTTATTCCTATACAGAGAAAGCACCAACATGTACTGCTTTTTGTTTGTATGTCTTCCTTTTACCTTGAGATAATATTTTTCATTTTGATCACGCCATATTTTATTAAATTGTCTTTGGGACTCCCTCCACTCCTCCTCTTTGGTCTTCAATCTACAGATGTAGAAAAAAAAATTATTACAGGGTTTAGGATAAGATTCTTTGTACTGCCTGTAGCATAAAAATTACTTTTCAAACTACACTGGCAGTGGTTGTCATAAATACCTTCTTATAGAGATTTCTTTAGGAAATACACTTGGATGTAATCAAGATAATTTGGGAGGAATCTAACAATACTGTTATAACAAAATTAATAACAGCCTCTCATAGGTTCAGAAGTTTCTCACGATTAAAATCCAGAATTTTGACCGTCAAAATTGGAGTGATTTTTTGTACAAGAACCTATTTTTCTTTGCCGGGCTGAACAGGTTCTTGTATTTTTGGGTATTTAAATGGCAAATTCCCACCACTGTCGACTAAACCATTTACGAATAGAATGATCTGGCTGGATTAATGGTGGAATTCTCTTTAGTACTGGATCTGTCCGACCCGTAAATTCTCGCAACTAAATGGAAAGTGCCCCTAGTGTTTACTGACACTCCCAGCTCTGCCCCCTTCATTAAGTTGGTTTCCATCCTAATTTTTGTATTGCAAAGCTTTGCTACTACTAGTTATAAACAGACGTTGACAAGCGCAGAGAAGTCTGAGTCACACAAGCAAGGTTATACACCCTTCCTGCATCTATAACAACAGCCACAGATAAAAAAAATCCCTAGTTTAAAACTAATTCTCACCTCTTTAAAACTAGTGGCACAGCCACTGCAGGTGTTTTCTTTAAACCATCAACTATATCAGGAGCCTTGTCTCCATAAATCCTGTTAAAAAATATTACAACAGTTTACTATTATGTTAAGCACTGGATGTGACTCAACTAAGTAAACCATTTCCCTCTTCTGAAACTTCCAGCTAAAGACTGTACAGTCCTTAAATATGGAAAAGTCTGGGTCCTTATCCCTGAAAGTTGATTTAAACTCAGCCATGGATATTAGGGCCATTTATACAAGGAAAAATAAGACGCGTCTTAAATAAGATGCGAACTGTGCCATTTATACGAGCATGTCTTATCTAATAAGACGCGTCTTAGCTAAGCTGCGTCTTATTTTAGACAAAATGTGCTGTTTACATGGAAAGTTTGCGTCTTATTTTTCCTTGTATAAATGGCCCTATTATCTTTTTCACCACTATTTGTTAAGTGCTTTCATGTATTCAAATTAGCACTAACATCAAATGAAGATTTAATGGCCTCGTAGGAACAGAGACCAGAGACAAGAAACCGCTAAAAAAAGGTACTTCAACTGGAATAATGTACACTCTTAATGACAGAGACCTTGAGAACCAAAATAATGAAGGAGTGCTTCAAACAGAACCCTTAGTGATTTGTAACAAGTTAATCGCAGATTACTTTGTGTTTCATTGTGAGACAAGACGAGGATAAGACACAAGATTGACAGACACCTTCAGCCTCTCCACTCACCCTTTTGAAACATATTTCTGAATTTGTGAATAAATACCTTTGAATAGCTTTTCGGTGGATGAATTCTGATGTTCCTCCTATACAGCTGTCAAGACGGAATTTTGCTTGCTCTTCAGCTGGCATTCTGCAAGCAAACAAAAACAAAACAAGTTAAAATGGCAGGTAACCTTGAAGCTGTAATACCTTTGGTACATCTCTCAAAAGTGTTTGAAAATATAGGAAGTAAAATAGGGAGAAAAAGAGCACGAGATGAGTACTGCTAAGTGAAGGTCAATCTTACCTTTGAAGCTTTTTATGAATTGCTTCCAAAACTCGAATTGTTGAAAGATTGGATTCCAAAACAACATCCAGCTGAAAAAAACAATATTGCCACTTTAATTAATTAGTATGAATCATTGATATTCAGGAAGAACTCTTAAGAGAAGTTAAAGGTTTACAATATCAAAATTATTCACAAATTATTAAACTCCAAACAAACCTCAAATCTTTCATCCTCACATCTGAAAACAAATGACAAAGAGAGTGAAACACAAATTTGAAAGTCTATAAACCTTTAGGCTTTAAGTTAAGCAAAGGCTGTGAAAGAAAACAAGTAAATGTAACCAAGTAATTTACCATTTGCCAGTGAGATGGTGATGCTGACAAAGTGCTTCATATAACCCAGCAACAGGTTGAGTTTATTCACACCTTATTTTAAAATAAATTTGTTGCTTTCTATTCTTCCATTTCAGATGCACATCTTAATAAAATAATATCACTGCTGATATAGCATTTTAATATTTACCTAAAAATGTACTCTTCATATTGTGTTTTCCTTGTTCCAGGAAATGGTGTGTCTTCTGACCATGATGGGAAAGATACCCATGTGTCATTGAGGACTTCTTTACACAGGGCTGTACGTCCACTGCACTTTGGTTGAGTGTAGCTTTTAGGGAGTGCTCTATAACTTGTACCATATCTTCTACACGAAGAATAGTCTAAGCAACAAAAAAAAGATTGGGGGTCAATTTGATAAAACTTTTACAAGTGTAATTTAAAAGTGTAGCCATTGTTGGTGAAGAGTAACAGGTTTAGAGTTTTGAGCACACGCAGAAGGCAAACGTTTGACTGTTTCCTTCTGTTGTATTCCCCACCCCAGTTCACTTGGTATTCTTACCCAATTTTCCTTTTTGTTAGCTAGGCATTTTCTAGGCTTCATTATGGTGGGAAATATTTTTGTGGAAGAACCCAGAAAATTCAGTGAAATTAATTACATTTGAGGGAAGTTTGATGGCATGTGTAGTTGAACAGGATTTTTATTGGAACTGTTTGATCAAATTTACATGATTGTTTTTGTTATCCTCTAGCCATCATGCCAATTTGGGTATGGTCTAAAATACCACATCCCTCTCCACAAGGTAGGTGTCAAAGTTCAAATTGATGGAATGACCAAGTGGTACATGTAAGGATGTGGTCCCTTCTTGCTTGAGATTTGAATTTGTAAAGAGCTTCATTTGATAGACACACATTCAAGCACTAGGATTTGTTGTTTCTGTGCCCAGAGATCACTGAAAACCATCCGTAACAATTCTTTTGGCTCAATGAAAATTCATGGGAACCCACCTCTTAAATGTTTTCAATTATTGGAAGTCATTTTTTTTTCTTGGCCTTGGAAGCCATAAACCAGTAACGTTCAATGCATTTTGGAAACCATTTAAGATGGTGAACAATAGAAAGATGATAGATGCTAATCAATGTTTAAGTTTCATATATAATCTGAGTCATAACTAAGAATTGCTCTACTAGCTAAGCATCTGTGTGGAAAAATAGTGAATTTCTGTTAATTGATCCTGAAGGCTGAAAATGTCACTGGGAAACTATTTTTCAGTTCTGTTATTTTAAGACCAGAGTAATGACATGGTACCAGAAAATTTAATGATCGTTACTGCAAAATCCTAGGGGTTGACTTTGAGATTTTAATTAAGATTTATCAAAATGCAGACATTCAAGGTCAAGGGGAGTGGTACATACCAATCTCAAGATGATGGAGTTCACCAGATGTTCTCTCTTTGAAGCTGGCCACACTCTCCATGGGAGAGGAGTCCTTATAGCCAAGGAATTCCTTAAACCACTGAAACAGCTCAGCATATTTACTGAGGAGATAATAAGAGTGCATTTTAGATAAAAGAACTTTTAAGTAGGGACAAATCTGGCACTGAAGAAAACAAAGACAGAACAAGACACAAAATAGATGAGTGAAACAGACGAGGACCAAAATTGTCCTTGTTAATCAAGATGCTCACCCTATAAAGTTGGCAGCCAGCTGCACAAGTTCTGCTCTGGAGATCACTTCTTGGTTGAACAACACAAGACAGCGAAGAAAGTTATTATACAATTCAGGATTCTTCAGAGCCTTCCTCACCTTCAAAAAAGGGTATGAAATATTACCTCAAATTTCAAAACCTCATTAATAATTCATAAAGAAAAAAGATAAAAAAATAAATGTTTAATGAGTGTCTTTACATTATCTGAAATAAGACATGGCTTAACTTTACGTCCAATTTTTAGACCCAAATAACCCCAAATCTAAATATTAGTGCAAGAATGAGTTGATCTATATCAGAGATTTTGAAGCTGTTCAAAAAACTCAAAGTTGAGTATCATCAGCTGTAAGAACTCTCAGCTTCATCTTGAGTTTTTAAACCTGATAATACACTCCTGCTCATTTTTTAAACAGTACTTACACAACATGAAACAAGAAGGAAGGAACAACTATCTAACAAACCAAAGGAGTGTATAATAAAAAGTAAAACTGCTCCAAAACTCCAGTGAACCATGGCTTAACATCACTCTTTTCACCAAAACAAAACACATCTACACATCAATGTTACTGACTGCCGCTTTAATCAATTTGAGTGTCAAAAAGGTTTTTTGTACCTTTTCAAAGAATGCAAATTCGGAGAAGGTGCCAACTTTTTGGGCTTCTGCCAAAGATACATCTTTGATAGCACTTCTTGACTTCTTCTAGGTGAAGAGGGAAAAAAAGACGCATAGATCAGGAAACTAACAATAAAACCACTTGAAAAAGAATTACCTGCAATGTACTATCAACATTTTAGTATGATCAATCCTGGCTGCAACCCCACTATTTTTTTCATTTTTGTTAATTGCTCAGACAGTTTTATGCACTTCCTGTTCAAAAAGCCTAACCTAAGTTCAACTGCAGGTGAACTTTGGTGTGTGCTAATAAAATGAGAATTTCTTTTATTATTAATTAATATGTTTACCTTTGCCTGAGGATGAGTAGGGGATGACGATACACTGTTTGAATTTCTTCTTATTTGGTGTGACATGCGCTTTGATGAATTTAATCCCACTGCAAAGAATATTTGAGAATTATTACATGTTTTATAGAATACGACTGTAATTTGATTACAAGTATGACTGTCACGTGTAACTGACGAGGTGCCTGAAACAAAGGCTCAGGTGACTGATAAACTACATTATTCTCCTTCAAATTTACCATGTATGAGTGTAAATTATGTGGAGAATTCGATATTAGATCAAAAATCACTTAGGACCTTCCTTCATACAACCTTAGTAAGCACAACCATTTTAACAATGAAAAGCAACATGCACAGTCATAATTAATTCAGTTCAAATAACCTGCAGGTTTTTTGGCAGGAGGTGCATACTCATTCCTTGCTGATGATAAATGGGACTGAAGTCTACTTGATGATAACAGACCCTGGAAAAAAAAGAAGAAATAAAACCCATGCCATGAAAGTAAACAAAACACAACAACATCTAGCATCTGGCAACTGTTTCCAACCTTAAGTTAAGACCAAGGGAACAATAAAATTACTGCTTTGGCTGATCTGAGACAAAACAGGGCACTAATCATGACTCCAGAGTGATTAGGAGCCAGTATTTGAATGCAGAATATAAAGTGTTGAATTGGTCAAGCCAAAGATCTTCATAATATCAAATGTTTTACCTTTAAGCTATATAGAACATAACTTGGGTTTAAGTCACCAAATGGGAAAGGTTATTTTCACACCCTAAAAACCTGATATATTTCAACACTTACTTTGGAACTGAAATGTAAGTAATCTTCTATCCTACCCTAAGGCGGATATAATTTTAAAATCAAAATAATGAAGAAATTACCCCTGGCATGGAGGCTGCACCATTTGCATCAGGAAGGAATTGACTGAACTCTTGGAGTAAATCCTCCTGGTTCTGGAACAACTTGGCAACTTGTTGATAGACCTGCGACAAGAAACAGAAGTTGAGACCCCTACCCCTAGCTCTCTACAACTAAGATTACAGATTGTTTGAACTCATAAAATAGCATTTATAAATGTAATGAGAGCACCTTTAACATTTTACTCTAAACCCAAAGATATTGATTTAAACTTGTTTCAGCAACAGAAGTACGTTTTTTCTTTTTCAAAGACTTTATGACAGAAGTACTGGAGACCAGGTAGTTAAGACTGAGGCCCCCAAACAGTGGGATTTGAACCTCAGGTAAATGAGCTGAAATCCAGAACTACAAAGCCACTCGTCAAACCTCCCTCCACAATGAGCAGTGGTGTAAACAGAGTTACCACAACTTCCTTTATAGTGGGCACTGTGGGGACCTTGAGTTAGTGTCCTCATTAGCAAGAGTCTGTAATGGCGGGGGTTTATTTCAGTCAAAAATATATGATTTACTTTTGCTTGGGATCTAGCTGCTATCTGTATTATCGGGATGTCCGTTATAGCAAGGTGTACGCAAGGCGGGAGTTGACTGTATACAAAGACCAAGCAAAATAATGGAGTAACTGTCTATCAGTAGCCATTTGCCAGTGTGGGTATACAACAAAAACAAATTTTTTTGTTTACCTCATTTGCAAGTTTAGCTTCTCTCATATAGATCTAAAAACAAAAAAAAGACAGTGACATAAGCATCAATTATGTTGCAGTAACCTAACAATACCAAGCTATCAGGTAGATGTAAATGTCCTAATTAAAAGTAGAAAAAGACATAAGGACAGAGACCAACAAGGCAGTGAACCCTAAAGGAAGCACCTTCATGAAAGAATGTCCAGTGATCACATCTTACTAGCACATCACAGAAGAAAATGTGAGCCCAGTCAACATCATTGCCTGATATTGATGAAGAACATTGATCACTAAGCAGAAGAAATGCAACTTTCAACTTCCAAAAAGAAAGGAATATAACAAAGTTATACCTCTTGTTCAGACAGTGGAGTTCCCTGCATGGCAGCCTCCTTAATGTTTTTCTGCTCCTTTTGGTATGTATGAAGAATTTCCAGAAAAGCCTTGTAGATATCAGGTTGCCCTTGGAATCGGTTCTGAAATAAAGATTACCATCACAATATCAATTGCAATTGTTGGCTCACCCTTCAGTTTCCTTTTTATCATGTGTTGATAAAGATTGATTGACTAATTAACCTACATACAGTGCAGGCCAGAACAAAGGGAACAATGCAAACATGAAACTGATGCAATGGATACATCAGGTTGGACGAGGGTACCTGTCAGAGCTGACGAGCATCTGCGTGAGTTCGGACGCATCAGGCAGGAAAGGATTTTTCTAGTGTTATTCACTGTGACAGTTTTGCTTTGTGGGGCATTGTTGTAAAAAAAACAAAACAATTTCTTGCGTTTGAAGAAGCTCAATAGTTGCTCATTCTAAGGAACTTTTCAAGAGCCCTGATAAATTTGGAGATGTGAAGGGTTTCGTTTGTATAATTGCTCAGCATCCTTCTTTTATATGTAATTGTAATTCTAGGTTCATACACCTGAAGAATACCAGCCATTTTTTAAAGAGCTGAAAGTCAGAGCCTACAGCATCAGTTTCTTAGTGGACCAGAGTCAAATATTCTATCGCTAGAAATAACAACACATCTGCACTAACCTTGATTTTGTTTACATAATTTATGGCATGGTTGAACTCTACAGGTTGTTGACCCTACAAAGAAACAAACAGTTCTTAAGCACAGTCAGCAATGAGATTCAAGCCTACAGACTAGATGTACACTTTTCTCCTTCTAACAGTATGTCAAGGGCTGAAATCTTGCAGGGAATCAGTACTTCACTGTAGTAAATGTTATTACTGTTTGTCATACTTTCAACACTAATGTGGAATATGGCTGAAACTGCCCAAGTGTCTAAAGCATACGTATAACAGTGGTATATACCTGTCCTTGTTGAGCAGTAGGTGACTGAAGGGGTTGTTGTTGTTGCTGCTGCTGCTGCTGCTGTTGTTGTTTCTGCTGAGGTGGCTGTTGTTGCTGTGCCTGTTGGCTACTTGATTGTTGGACCTATAATTTATCATAACATACCGGTAAACCTTATTTATCAATAATTATTCATTCTGTCAAGCCATTATGATCTATGACTTGAAAGAATACAAACACATGGTGAATGTTGTGAAGAATTTTTGGTTGCTTTAAAGATTAGAAACCTAAACATGAGTATTAGGGATAATTTAACATGGAAAGTCTTGAAAAAGGTAAGCACAAGATGTTGACAAGTAAGAAATTAAAAGTAGCGAAATTGATTTGGACAACGCCCACAAACAATTCCGTCTATTATAGGAGAGAAAAAACAAACTGCTTTTTGCTGTGTCTGTTCAGTTATACATTTGTTGATTAGGGATGTATAACCAAAGCGGTAAGAACATCAATGCTTTTACCAATGGGTAACCTCACCCTTGATCTTTTACTTGATCAATTTTAACACAAACCTACAAACCTAGTGGTTTCACTCTGTAAATTATGATTAAGGTCACAAAAATTTTACGTAGGGCCGATAATCTGTTTAACACATACCGTACATCTTAATAAAATAAGCCAACTGGAATAAAGTTTCAATCCTATCAGTTTGAGTATACCCTTACCGGATGCTGATTAGTTTGGATGAGAGTGGTGATCTGTGACTGTCCATTTGGTGCTGTAACTGATACAGTTCCAGGGTCACTAGCATGCACCTCTATTTTGTATCCAGGAGGAAGGAAGGTGTTAAAACCTACAATAAGTTCTGGATGTCCCTTGAATAGCGATGATACTCTGCTTATGACTCCCGGGGTGTCAATACTGGGGAATAATAATAAAAAAAAAGAACGCAAGGCAAAAATTATACAAAACAATTCGTAAATGGGATCTGTTCCATTTTCTAACACCGCTTTGGACAACTAAAAACAGTTGTCCAAAGCAGCAAAGCATGCAGGTACATGTACTAATCACTTATTGCTTAACAAAAAATAACCATAATCTTGCAATAATCAAATCAAGAATACAGGAAAACAGAGTATAACAAACCCATAACACATTATGTTTCTCTTGTCTTAGCTCACTGATCTGACTGTTTAGCATAAAACACTGTTTCGAGGGGAGGAAAAAAGCACAGCCAGAAAAAAACTGCATTGACCTCTTCTTCTTCCTCTTCAAAACGACATCAAAATCACAGAGCTTGCCGTTTACATTAGTCAATTGGCTTAGTCACTTTAGAAACGGAAAGGGAACTGGAGTTGAAATGCACCTTGCAATTGTTTCTTGGGTTGTTACTGGGGACACGCCAGTGAGCTATTGGCCAATTTTTTCCCTCTCCTTAGTAACAGTCCCAAAAGTCTTTGCAAAAGTTAACGCGGCCCAGTTACATCTTGTTTCTAAACTAATGAATGATGGCAGGATGTGAAAATTATTTTTCTGCCCACTGTCCTTAGCAATCATGTGTGTCAAATAAAGAAAGCAAAAAACAGCTAGGGAAATAGACAGAATTATTTATAAAGCCAACCCCCTTTTCTTAGTATGAAACTTTAAAATGGGTTTTGCTTTGAATATATGCTTCAAGATACCTTTGAGATTTAAACTCTTTCATAATATCCAGAAAATCATTGTACACTTGTGGCTGGTTTCCAAACTGAAGTTTGACTTGATCCAAGTATGACAGGGCATCCTCCACCTTACAAAATTAATAAAAACACCATAAATGAATGAAAAGATTATCTGCATACGCTAATACGGGTGTAACCTGGTAAAAAACAAGGAATTGCAACAAAGTTATCAACAACAAAGAAATAACATGAAGATCAAACACCATATTTTAAACTTTTCCCTATACCCCTTGTACCCATATTAAGGAACTTTAGCAGAACTTCTGGATAGTACTTTTTTTGGTTCACACTTCAAGAAATCTACCTTTAATCGTTGGAACTGCTGCTGTTGTCCTTGAGCCTGAGCTTGTGCATGCACCTGAGCCTGGCCCTGAAATATAAACAGTACAGTGGGCCTGGTTGTTCAAACATTGGATAGCGTTATCCATTGGATAAAATGCTATCCAGAGGATACGTATAAGGGAAATCAATGTGTTGTCCACTGGATAGATATTTATCCTTTGGATAGCATTATCCTCTGTTTAGACATCATTATTATTCATTCAAAATATTTCCCCAATTCTGATACACATAATTCACCATAACCAGTTACTGGTGACCAAATTTGGAAGAATTCTGTGTTTAACGAGGAAATGACATCAAAAATGCAGCGTTCTTGCAGGTTAATGTACCGTTAACCGAGAAGACCTGGGGACGAGGTTGAGTTGTTTTGGTTGTGAAAACAAAAAATGGCAGACATTTCACTCGTTTCAAGAGTAAGAACTGGGCGAAATTATAGCTAAAAACATGGCAAGAACAGCAAGAACACAACTCGAATGGCGACATCTGCTATTTGGAGAATATTTGTGGAGCTGAGCAATCCTAAACGTGCACTATAGGAGAACTTAACATCAATAGAGGTAAGCATGTTTTAGCTGTGTTTTTAAACTAGGAATTATTTTGAATGAATAATAAAACAATTATTGAATTCAGCTTTTGTATCATATGAAGAATTATGGAGATCAAGGAGGGTGTTATCCGTCGAGGCCGTAACACCCTCCTCGATCTCCATAATTCTTCATAAGATACTCAGCCTCATTCATTAATTGTTAACTATCTGACAGATAAGTATTAAGGAAACCAACTGCACTATCCACTGGATAGAGATATATCCATTAATGGTGTGCATTATATTCCTTTTGAATAACTGGGGGATGTAAACCATAGGTGGACACAATTGAAAAATTATTTTTCCTGTGAAACCATATGCAAGAATAAAATAGTAGATGATCAAATTACCCCTCAACAATTTTCATGAAAGCACAATGAATTCTGTGGATAATATATCAACTCACCTGGTGATGGGCTGAAGCTGGATTCTGTACATGAGGATGTGACTGTGAAGTCTGGGATTGAACTCTGAAAATAAAACAGAAAACACAATCAAAATCAGTTGTCTAAAGCAGCAAAGCATGCAGGTACATGTACTAATCACTTATTACTAAACGAAAAATAATCATAATGCTGCAATAATCAGATCAAGAATACAAGGAGAACAAAATATAAGAAAACCATAACACCTTATGTTTTTTTTTCTTGTCTTAGCTCACTGATTTGACTGCTTACTATGCAACACTGTTTTGAGGGGAGGAAAAAAACACAGCCAGAAAAAAATTGCATTGGCCCAACGTGTAGGGAAATCATTAATTATGTTATCAGTACTCCTCTAAAAAAAAGGGAATTTATTGATGTGTACACAAATTTAACAGAAAAACAAAAAAACATTAACATTAGTAGATATAATAGATAAAAAATTTGCCGCATACTCATATAAATGGAGCATTTGCCCAGTGAAAAAAACCTATTACAGGTGCAATGGCTAAACCCATAAACAGCAAATAAATCCACACTGATACAAACTCAAAAATGGACCACCACTGTAACATGAAATTGGAACACAATTGTTTCTAATTATAAATATGCTATACTTGCATTTTGACTCTTCCCCTTCCTCTGACCCCCCACCCCCCCCCCCACTCCACTCTCACTAAGTTAAACAAACTGACACTTAGGAGACAATCAGAGAGCATGCACTCAACATTCTAGTAAAGAGTAAGGTGAATGTCCCTCTTTTGTGCTTATCCTCTAAAAATTTGTCTCAAGAAGTTTCTCCACTATCAAAGATGACAAAAAAACAAACAAATAAAACAAACAAAAACAACTAGTTGAAACATAAGATACTCACTGATAACCTGGAGTTCCTGCCATCTGCGCTGCCCCAGGAAATTGTGCCAAACCGCCTAATCCATCTTGCTGCAGCTGTTCATAATTAGTTGTCATGCCAACAGGAGCTGGGGCAAGAACAGGGGGAGGGCGGAAACTCTGCCTGTTTTGACCATATACACCGTCGTGGTCTTCAGGACGGACCCTCTTCATGTCTTGCTCCACAGCCTCATTCAAACAGTATGATGTGGCTTGAGCCTTCGGATGTTTATCTAAAATAACAAGAGAAAAAAAGGGTTTTTATTGCAAACAAAGTAAATAAACAGTGTTAAAACAACCTCAAACTGTCTTTTTTTATATCCCCAGGATGAGAAGCTCACATATCATGTCTTAATAGAAGAACTCACAAATTTTCCTTAGAAGAAGAAAGGCTAAAAGAGGCAGTGAATGGAACGAACTTTAGATGCATTTGCTGTTGTTTGTGACAAGCAAATTCCAGTATAAAGCTATACAAGTGAGACAAAACATAAATGGATGTGGGAAGAAACAGAGCCAGCTGTTGGCATCATTTAAGAGGGATGAGTAAATTTTATTATGAATAGCGAGTTATTGAGGTGCATGCATCTAAGTACCTAGGTTGATAAAGACAATATGTAGCTGTGATCTTGCAATGAGGAAACCACACAGGAAAGTATCCCTGCAGTTGGTGACTTTCAGGTCAAATAAGTACAAATTAAATTACAGTGCATGTCTAGCACCATGCCAGAGCCATTTTACAAGAAAAATAAATATGCTGTATGGCTAAAGACAAGAGTGTTGACATCATACTTGTAGCTACCAAATGGAGTACCTGTGTAAAAACCACTTAAAGTTTTGCATGAAGGGGTGTGAATAACAGTGAAATAAAAGCAATGCAGGTACAAAAGTTTGTCAGTAACTTCAGTATGATATATTTGAGGCACAAAACATTCCCCATTGACCTTTGCTAATGATCACAAAAATTTGCAACTTGATTTAATTCTCTCCAATTCTTAAAATGAACCAGTGTCAATATCGTTTTCCTTCCTACAACATTAACTTGAACGTGGCAAGACGAGTGTCGGTAGATATGGTTGAAAGCCACTGAAGCATCACAGCCCACCGTGTACATGTACATGACCTTCAAGCCATGACAAAATAGGCATGGAAAAAAAATGGAAAAAAAATGGAAAATCTGAAAACAATATAAAGCTGGGCAATACTACGGTGGTTTTATTGTGTCAAAGAACATGAAGACAGAGGGAATCAATGAAGTGACACGACACAACTGGTTCTGTCGATCGATCGATCGATCGATTACGACAAAAGTTTCAACTTCCGACTCGAGTAAATCGAGCCTAAACCAAAAAAGCAAAGCAAAAGGAGACTGAAAATACAAAACACAAACAATGTCTTTTATCTGCTAGCTAGAAAATAGGAAAGGATTGGAACACTAGCGTAGTACAACCGATTACGTCGGCGCGAAACTACAAATCCACTCACTGACACTGCCGACAGGAAATGGAATTCCGAGGCTCAAGCAGATCGACGCACTTGCAAGTTTCGTGTCCTTTTTAAAGCACTGAAAAGCATAAACCTTCTCTATCCATGTTTACTTAAAACTAAAGGGGGAAAATGGAGGCAAGTCGATAACAGCAGCAGGAATATAACGCAAAGGAATCGAAATTCTTTTCCATTCATGTAATATAATTATACTGCACACTCCCACACGATCAGGTCGTAAACATTGATGTTTATGCCTTTTTTCAAGTCTCTGTTTTAGCTTAACAGGGCCTTCGCTAAGGATATATGTTCTACAAAAATGCATACGCCGAAACCTGCAGGAAAACGATTTACTGTGGCTTGTAATCCACAAACTGTCATGCACTGAAAAACATAACAGACTATGGTGCAAAACGACAGTGTCATGAAAAAGAAAACAGAATAACACTACAATGATGCGATTCAACTTACATTTAGTGTTTTCCCTAGTCAAGATGAAGGCACCTCCACTTCGAAAACCCAAGGATGGCCGAAAATTTTAAGGATTATACAGAAGACTCAGTCGTAAACGTTCCCTTGACTTCTTTTCGCTCGCAAGCGAACAGTCCGCGAGCCGTTGACGTCACACACTCCACAGGAGAAGC